ATGAACACAGCAGGCCAAGCAACATCAGCTTTCCTGCTCCTCTGATGCTGCTTGGCCTGCTGTGTTCATCCAGCCCTACACCTTGTTATCTCAGATTCTCCAGCATCTGCAGTTCCTACTATCTCTAAAAGAAAGATGAATTAGGAATAACATAACTCTACTGGAAAATGTAATAGAATAATAGATTATTTAACTACTAAACAGTAACTGTTCCAATATAGCAACATCCCATAAATATACCTTGCCAAAGGCAAATTAAGTAAAATAGATTGTCTGACATGCAGTTCTCCAGTATGGAGGAAAGAATATCAAGAGAGAACTCTGTGTGAGAGAGAGAGTGTGTGTGAGAGAGAGAGAGAGAGAGAGAGAGAGTGTGTGAGAGAGAGAGAGAGAGTGTGAGAGAGAGAGATCAAGCATTTTGCTGTAGCAGGGAGAAATGTATAACAGCTTCCAAACCCCATCAGCTACTGAAAGTGAAACTAAAATCCTAGTTCTGTCAGAGCTTGACCCCACAACTTCATGCTGCTTCTATTATTCCAACCTTTTTAAAAAAAAGACACCAAGGCCCCACAAACTGTTTCCATTAATGGCTGGGAGCAGACCACTCGGTACCTCTCTCTCAACCTCTCTTTATTAAAAAAAAAGCACCTGGTCAAAATATAGCTCTTAAAGCCATAGTATCATTACACTGCTCTACTTTGTTAATTGCGTCTGTCACAAGTTTGTAATTTTACCATTACAAATGGAAAGCTGCCAGTTCTGCTTCATAGCATCTTTCTTTCTGACTGTTGCCAAGAGAGGATATTGAATGATTTCACCCCCTTCTAACCATCTTACAAATTAATTGCTGGACAAGAAAGTACAATGGATTCAACCTGCCAGCAATTCAGGCCCTTAAGTGGTCAATTAATGGACACTTTGGGATCTCACCTCATCACTCAACCCATCAACGCTTCTCAACCCAATCCAGACTGACTTGGCTACTCGTTTGGAGGCCTCCATTTACCCCCAGTTTAGAGGCAAGTGTGGAAATGGGTGGGGGTAGCTTCAGAATCCAATCGTCTACTCTTGACTCTGACCCTCCATTCATTTCTTCCTATCATCTCCATCTCATGAGAAGCAAGAGAAAACCTTTTACCTTCTCACTGTTCTTTGAAAACTCATCCATGACCAACAATTTGTAGGACCCAGGAAGCCGCCTTCCTCTGATTGGCCAGCTGCTGTTAAACAGGTAGAACTCCATTCTCAAGGCCTATGACAGCTCACAAAGATCACCAGTCAGCTTCAAACATATCAGGTTGGAGCAGCAGAAGGCCAAGCAGCCCCTCATGCCTGCTGCACCATTTGAGAAGAATATGACTGATCTTCTACCTCAGCTCCATGTTTCTACATGACCCTTTAATATTCTTCAATTTCCTCGATAATCTAAAATCTATTGCTCTCAGTCTTCAAGACATTCAATGTGAATATATCCACTGTTTAGTGAGGTAGAGAATTCTAAAGATTCAAAACTTTGAGTTAAGAAGTTCATTCTCATCACAGTCTGAGATGACCAACGGCCCCTTATCCTGGGACCATGACCTAGTCTTAGACGTCACTGCCTGGGTGCAGCAAAGCACCCCTTATGAAATTTATGTGCTTCAATCGGATCACCTCTAACTCTTCCTATACAGGCCCAGCCCAACCAGTTTGACCTCATGAGACAATGCCCTCATCCCAGGAATCAGTTCATGAAGAACAAGTGAACTTTCATTGCATTCATTCCAGGACAAATCTTCCTTCCATTATTTTGGGAATCTAGAAGCGTGTGATTATGAAGAAGAAAGAAAAGTGGATGTAAGGGTCTGAAGAGCAACATTCCTGAGAGGTTGTCCCCATCTGCCTGTATATCTTCCTCCTCTTCCTCTGTTTGACTTTGACAGCTTTATCACCAATGACAGAAGCAACAATGAGCACAGTGCTGAAGTATGTCACATCCAGTGTAGACTGTCTGGAGTGCAGCCCTGTTGTGTCACTTAACTGGAGGAAAGACTTTTTCACCCAGAGAGTGGTGGGAATCTGGAACTCGCTGCCTGTAAGGGTGTTGGTGGCAAAAACCCTCATAATATTTAAGATGTATTTAGACGTGTACTAGCGATGCCAAAGCATAGAAGGTTATGGGCTCCATGCTGGAAAATTGGATTAGAACAGTTAGTTGTTTTTGACCATCACGGAAGTGATAAGCTAAATGACTTTTTTCTGTGCTGTAAATCTCTATGACTGTATCTAACTAGTACTGAGGGTAAATCATTCCTAACAACCAGCCTCAACCATCCATACAGGCCATTCAAAAAGAATTTTCGTTTGGCTTTCCTCCCAAATGAAATTAAGTGGCTGGCCTCTCCTGGGTTACTGTCTGACAGAGAGACGGTCAGAGTCAGGACAGGCTTCAGTGTGGTCCTTTATTTCAAAATGAATTTAGCCACCATTAGTCATAACAGTTAATTCTTCAAGAAGGAGACAGACCAGTTCTTGACTAGGACAGAGATCTCTGTCAAATAGTGGGAAAGTGGATTAACTATCTAAAGTGATCACCTGGATTATGGGAATAATAGGGAAATTCTCCAGGATATTTTGCCCCTGCCAGTGTTTATCTACCTATGAAGGGAATGGTGGGGAGAGCTGACTGGTATCTAGTCACAAGGCACCAACCATTGTGAGTGTGGAGTAGGCTTCATGGATGATTGGGCTTTTCCTATGCATCATTTCCATGTGTCTGTACATCTACACAATGTTACAGAGATAGTAGGAACTGCCGATGCTGGAGAATCTGAGAAAACCAGGTGTAGAGCTGGATGAACACAGCAGGCCAAGCAGCATCAGAGGAGCAGGAAAGCTGATGTTTCAGGTCGAAACCCTTCTTGAGAAATTTTCTGAAGAAGGGTCTTGACCCGAAATATCAGCTTTCCTGCTCCTCTGATGCTGCTTGGCCTGCTGTGTTCATCCAGCTCTACACCTTGTTATCTCATCTACACAATGTACTGCTTTTCTCTCCAAAAGATTTCAACATGGATAATTTCATCTGCAAATCTGACATGGAGAAGACTCTCAATAAGCTGACCCGGGAGGAGCTCGCACCCGAAGAGGTGACCCTGGTCTGTGAGAAAGTGATTGAAGAAGCTGATTTGGATGGTGATGGGAAGCTTAACTACCTGGATTTTGAGAATATGATTGGCAGAGCACCCGATTTCCTCAGGTAGGTCAGGATAGGAAAAGCAACCTTCTGACACTTCAGTCAGTACTTCAAATCAGAGAAAGACCATGAGGGAGAATAATGAATCTAGATTACATAGCAGACTGTTTCTGAAGGCTGCAATACTTTGCATGCATCCTATTTTCAAAATTAGGGTAAATGTTGAACACAGATTACGTGGCTCAGTGTAAGTACTTTCACCTTTGAGCTAGATTGTCATGGGTTCAAGTCCTACTCCAGCTCCTTGAATATGAGGAGTCATTATGGTACAAAAGCAGACCATTCAGCCATTTGTGTCTATGACTGGCAGAAAGCAGAGTTAAATGGTGCGTGGAGACCCCATTGGATTGCAAATCCAACTGTTTAACTGCTTCACCATCATTGTTGCAGAGCTGTTAAAGTGCAGAAGGAACCTATTTGGCCCATCATATCTGTACCATCTCTCTGAGTGAGCATTATGACTTAGTGTCATTCTCCTGCCATTTCCCTGTAATTTGTAGATTGTTTTCATTTACATAATAATCTAATACCCTCTTAGATGCCTCAATTGAATCTGCATCCATCATACTTCCAGACTGTACATTCCAGACCCAAACCATTCGCTGTATGAATGAGACTTTTCTTACATCACATTTACTTCTTTTAGCAAATCACTTTAACTCTGTATGCTACATAAAGACAGCACCTCAGGGAGTGCAGCACGAGCCTGCACTGGAATGTCAGTTTAGTTTTAGGACTTGAACAGAGAACATTCTAAACCAGAGATGGATGTGTTACCCTCTAAACCACAGCTGATAGGAATCCAGGTTGATATTCCATTCAGATATTCCAGGCTCAGAAAGTTGGAAATTTCCATGTTCTGCTCTCACCAACACCATTAGGGTAAATATTGAACACAGATTACATGGCTCAGTGTGAACACTTTCACCTCTGAGCCAGTATGTCATATGGATGTGCTTTTTGTTGAATCCTTTACTGCATTGTAGGTGTCCCTAAACCATATAGACTACAGCAGTTCAAGCAGATAACTCACCACCACCTTCTTAAAGGCAATTAGGGATAGGTCATGGCTACTGGCTCTTCCAGTAATGCCACATCCCAAAAAAGTACAATTTATGGAAGGTAGCTTAGTAGTAATGTTACTGGACTAGATGGTGCAGAAATTGGCATTGGGAGGGTATGGTGTGGAGATGGGGGAGGGGACGCACCATGGATGGGGGACTGGATGGTGCTAAGAATTGGGGAGGGGATGGAGTATAGGGATAGTGGGGAATGGTGCAGGAATAGAGGGGGGAATGGGGAGGGGATGGGGGAGGGGTTGGGGGATGGGTTGGAGTTGGGGATGGGGGAGAGAATGGTGCAGTGATGGGGGAGGGATGGGGAGAGGATGCAGCAGTGATAGGGGTAGAGGCTGGTGTGGGGAGGCGGGTGCAGCTGGTCTGAGGAGGTGCTGGTGTAGAGATAAGGGAATGGGGAGGGGGAGGAAGAGGGATGGGGAGGTGATGAGGAAAGGGCTAGTGTGAAATGGGAGAGGGATGGTGCAGGGATGTGGAGGCACTGGTGCAAGGATGAGGGGAGTTGGGAAGGGCTCATGTGGGGATAGGGGAAACAGGGAGGTGCTGTTCAGGAATGGGGAGGATGGGCTGGTGCAGGGATGAAAAGGGGATGGGAGGGAGGGGAGGATCTGGAGTGGGGATGGGGTTTTGGGGTGGGGACTGGTGTGGAGCCAGGAGGAAGGGCTGGTTCTGGGATGGAGAAGGGAGGAAAGGAGCTGGTACAGGTATGGGGGGGCATGGCTAGTGTGTGGATGGGTAAAGGGGTTAATGTGGGAATGAATGGGGTGAGTTTTGGTATGGGAAGTGGATGGGGGTCCCGCCCTGTCAGAACCACCAGCAGGTCTCATACTCGGTAGTCCCACCACAAAGACCATGGCTGCAGCTCGAAGGATAACCAAGATCATGAGACCCAAGGTGACAGGGAAAGATGGGGAGAGAGGTTCTGGTTTCTGGGGTTGGACATCAGGAGAGGGGGCCAAGCAAGTGCAATAGAATATCACTCTGGCCGACGGCCATACCCCATTCCTGCACAAATAAGCGTAGATTGAGGGACATTCCCTACCGTATCAGATTGACAGTCTAACATTGCTGGTTTACTGGGCTGCCACTTCCCCATCTTGCCTGGAGCGAAGAAAATTGTGAGCCAGGCAGGAATAGTTCCGAGCTAGTTAATAATCGGTCACATAAGGCTCATGGGAAGGACCTTTGCAATATTGTCCAGAACTGAAGATAAGGCTGTTAGTTCCCTGTCTGCTAACACTTTGTATTAGGCTTCTGTTGAATTTACCGCAATCCGATAGAATCTTGAGGTGGCAGCTAAGAAGGTGGTAGGCTGTTGCTGGAAAGACAGGGGCCAGGGCATAGGGAGATGGATCTCAGCAGGTGTCCCTCCCCACTTCCTGATGTCCAATCTCTCGATCAGGGGCTGAGATTCTTGGATTGAGGGACCCTGAAACCTCCAGCTGGCCCCTCCCCCAGACTAACTTCTGTGAACCCCACATGATAACAGCCTCACCTGCAGCTGGATCAATCCCAGTGGCACCAACTCAAGAGCCTTTAGTGCTCCCTAATTGGTCTCTTTAAGGCCCCAGTTGGTGGTGGGAAGGGAAGATCAACCATGGGCCTTCCCACCTAGAACCTGATTCCTGAGTAGGTGAGTAGTTGCTGGGGTTTGGGTAAGCTACTATCTCGCTGAATTAAACACACTTATTGCACTGAGGAGAGCTGGAGATTCCATCCGACAACCTTCTACCACCCTCTCTCACTATGTTTTGCTCTGCTGTATGGTTACACCGATTATATACCCAGCTACATCCTTCAGTCCTCCAACTCTGACTTGTTATGTGCATTTATCCTTTCTGGTTATTCTATTCTGAAATGCACATTGATGCAACTCCTAAGAAAACAGCTCACCTATTCCTAAACAATCACTGACCAGTTTATAAAAGCTGAATTCCTAAATATACATCTCGATCAAGGTATTAACCACTATTCCCATCTCTTCTACAATGGTTCCATCTCTGTGATTCCACTAACCCAGTTTTGTCATCCGTGGATCAGTTTTTGGGCTTTTCTTTATATTAATTCTGTTGTATAAAAACAGCCATTGTTCCCAAGCCAAGTTAATAGATCTTCCATTTCCCCCAACATGTTCCATAAGTTAGTCAAGGAAACACTGTGTTTCATTAACTGGGAAGACCTCCCATTAATTAGTACCTTGTTTAGCCGCTGGATGAATTGAAAACAAAGTGACACTTGACTCTTTCATTTCGGAAATTCCCATGGGTACAAATCCTCATGGTAATTTTGTTTGCTGTTCTAATCCAATCCTAGCCACCTCTACCTTCTCGACAAGGAAGTGAGAACGTTTTGAATTCCCTCTTGATTGGAGACAATCAGATTCAGTCAGGATATGGGAGCAGCTACTAGAACCTTAATTTCTGAAATGATGGAAAGCCAAATAAGAAGCTGGGATTTTTCACACAAAGTGGGGTGTAATCATGCCAATTTCAAATTGCAGAAATCTACCTGAAATGTAAAAACATTGCTGCTCCCTACCTGTGCTCCACTACAAAGTGGTGTACATTACCATTCACAGGCACATTTATAATGTTTGATTGATCCATTCAGTAATACATATTGATCCATTCATAACATATGGCTGACACATTTGTAAGTATATATATATAGAATCATTTATAAATAAATAATTGATCCATTCGTAAATTTACACTGACCCGTTGACAATACATACTTGACCCATTTATAAATATACATTGATTCTTTCTTAAATGTGCATTGATCCATTCAGAAATATATCACTGATCTCTCTTAACAAATAAATATTATTTACAACTTCAATTGCTTTAGTTCTAAATAGAAAATAAAATTAGCTTGATTTTCCTGAATTCACTACTGAGAGTCGCATGGGGATTTCTGATGGCCACTTTAACTCCACAGTAACCCTTTTGCTCAGTTTAACAGCGAGGCTGCATTTGACTGAGGGGTGTGTCAAGGAACACTGGCAAAATTAATTGTGGGAAAACTCTATGCTGATCTGGGTTCTGCTTAGCAGACAGAAAGATGGTTGAGGTTGCTGTAGGTCAGTCATCTCAGCTCCAGGACATCTCTACAGGAGTTCCTCAGGGTAGGATCCGAGGCCCAACCATCATCAGCTGCTTCATTGATGACCTTCCCTCCATCATAAGGTCAGAAGTGGGGATGCTCACTGATAGTTGCACAAAGTTCAGCACCATTTGCAACTCCTCAGTTACTGAAGCAGTCCATGTCCAAATACACCAAGATCTGGTCAATATCCAGGCTTGGGCTGACAAGTCACAAGTAAGATTCAGGCCATGCACGTACCAGGTAATGATGATTTTCAGAAAAAGAGTATCTGTACTTCGCCCCTTGACATCCAATGACATTGCTGAATCTCTCAGTATCAATATTCTGGGGGTTACCGTTGACCAGAAATTGAACTGGGGTCTAGCCATACACATACAGTGGATACACAAGCAGATCAGAGGCTGGGAATCCTGGAGCGAGTAACTCACCTCCTGCCTTCTAAAAGGCTTATCCAAAATCTACAAAACGCAAGAAAAGGATGTGACGCAATTCCCCAACAACACTCAAGAAGCTTGACACCATCCAGTCTACTTGATTGGTACCACATCTGGCAAATTTGGAAAGAGGATTACCTTTCGCCTTTTTAATTGTCAAAAGCTTCCATTAAACATCTTTGTGATATACTGTGTCTTATAGAATAGAATTGTACTGTATTGAAGGAAGCCATTCAGCCCATTGACTGTGGTGCCAGTTCTTTCAAAGAGAAATCCAGTTAATCCTACATCAACTCACCCCCAGCCAAATTGTTCTTTCTCTTTTTTCCCTCCAAGTATTTATAAAATTTCCTTTTGAGTACTAATTTAAATCAGTATATGCCACCTTATCAGAGAGGAAGTGGATTCCAAATCCTAACCACTATTGTAGAAACGCTTTTTCTCACAACGCCTTTTGATCTTTGGTCAATCAACATGAATTAAGTTAAGTATGGACCAATTGATTTATCAAGCCTTCAGACATGGAACCAGTTTCTATTTATTCGATCTAAATGCATAACAATTTTATACACCTCCCTCTCCCAATATCCTCAGCTCTCAGGAGATCAACTCTATCTTCGCTGTGCAAGTTTCAGTAAGATATGGTTAACAACCATTACTTTGTCAGACAATTACACACAACTTGGTCATTCAGATCATGCAACTAAGTCTTTTGAACCTGACCTAATGAATTGTAACAGCAATTTCCAACAGACTTGAATCTTTCAATCGCTACAAACAACAAATCAAGATATCTTGAACTCATAGTGATATTTACAATTGACCTGTGACTTTTGGTTTTCCTTCCAAACAAAAAAATTGACAGAGTCTTCCTGGAAATTAGCACAAGTTAATTCACCTGTGATAGTGTGGCATTTTATCCATATAAGTCAGATTTGTTAATAGAAAAATTACTTTGTATTGCACGGTAAATATTTTCTCACTTTTAATTAAAACCGATTGCACATAAAAGAAGCTTAAAGCACATGGAATTGAGGGAAACTTGGTGAGATGGATCAAAAACTGGCTCAGTAATAGGACACAAAGGGTAGTGGTAGAATGGTGTTTGAGTGACTGGAGGCCGGTGTCCAGTGGTTTCCCTAGGATCAGTAACTGGGACCCTTATTGATTATTAGATGCATAAATAATATAGATGAAAATGTAGGAGGAATGTCAAGCAGAATGGCTGACAACACCGAGATTGGTAACACAGTGTAGACCTGGAGGAACACAGCAGGTTAGGCAGCCTCAGAGGAGCAGATATAAAATATGAAATTTGAAAAAGAGTCATATTGGACTCAACATATTAATTGTTTGTCTTCATAGATGATGCCAGACTTGCTGAGTTTTTCCTCTGTTTTTACTTGATAAATCAAAATTCTTTTTCATATAATACTGATTGTTTATTAAACTAGACTCACTGAGCCCACTGAGCAAAAGGCAATGTTATTGTGGAACAGGATGTGAACAGAAGAGCTTTAGAATCCTCTGTGACTGCAAGGCATTTCATTTTAACATGCTAAATTATAACTCTGAGAGTCTCTGACTAGCTTAATGGTGGCATTAGCAGTGTGATTTGGCACTCTGTAACCTGCCCTGCAAGGCTGCATATATTGGACTTGTAGAAAATTGCTTTGTAAATCATTCCAGAAATTGACGCTGATCCATGCTCCAAATTGGTCTGTACTGGTCTCACTTACAAGGAAATTACACAACATAGTTTTCCTGACTGCACACTCCTGCCCTGGCACAAAGTGTGAAGGACTTGTAATCTTTAGACCTGCCTTGCACATTTCCCATTGCCAGGAAAATCTTTATGGAGTTAATTAATTTCCATACTGTGGGCTCCCAATCCCATGTAGGGGTTAGATGGTCACCCTCCTGAACACATTAAGATTTAAAGTGAAATCTGAACGCCTTATTTTAACTAGTAGAACTACACCGCAAAACTCCTTGAGTTTTTTTCAGAAGGCACAAACTTTATTGCAACAAAATTAGAAATTGCTGGAAAAATTCAGTAGGTCTGGCAGCATCTGTGGAGAGAAAGCAGAGTTAACGTTTCATGTCCAGTAACCCTTCTTCAGAACAAACTTCATTGCATCTAGAAACAATTAAACAAATCAAATGTTAGCATGGTTACATACATCCACAAATGCCAGGCCTTGAGAATCACTTCTTACTTCCCCCAAAAATTGTCTTATATATTCCAATTATTACATTACTTACTTTCATAGAGAAAAACCATAAGTTTCCCACAGTCCTCTGGAAACTAGGTTTTAAGTTTCCTCAGCTCTAGTTAGTCTCAAGTGTAGAATCTTCATTTTCCATCTTTTTTAATGTGATACCCCAGTCCTCCTTCTGGTTACTCTTCCATTACTTCCAATATAATCTGATGGTTGCTTTCTTTGGCCACAAGTCTCTGAGAAGACCACCGTAGGCTCTTCTACCAGTTTCAAACTTACAATTTTCGTTCCCTCACAAAATACAAACTGACTGATATTAAGTCTCACCCTAATTCTACATGGTAAAAGATTAACTTAGTTTTTTTTAATTCTGCTTACAGTGCAGGTCTATATAACTATTATTTATTTGGGCTATCTCACAGTGGGTTGCAATCAGACCAGGTCCAAATTGCAACTACTACTTGGATTGATCTTTAACATGTTTTATCTTCCAACTAGGTTTGCCTGTCTGGAATATTTTTGGGAAGAGGAGGGGACTGGAGAGAGGGAAAGGGAGACGAGTGGGATTGTTTATTGACACATTTAAATTTGGAGCTGCTTATCTAGTTGCATTTTCTCTGTGTCCCATTTCTGCAGCACTTTCCACATTCGTATCTGAAGGCAGTCAATGAGACGGCTACCTGGGAAATCGAGACTGGCTTGCCCCTGATTCCATGACCTTTTGGACCCTTTGATTGGAGTTGGAGCCCATTTGGCTGAAGACATGAAGCCTCTGCTTCTTGTCTGTACGACTGGGCATTGGGCTTCCTGAATTTTTGGTGAACAGAGAGCCTGTCACAGTCAGCTCTCAGTGATTTGACTTTTGAAGGCCTTTGGAACCAGTGTTCACGATTCTACACCTGGGCATGGCTATTCCAGAGCATCTAGCAACCTCCTGTCTCTTATACCTTTCGGAACTTTCTACTGGAGGCCAAGGCAGATAATGAAAGTGAAAGGTGCAGTTTATACACACAGGAAGCACAGGAAAACTTCCTAGGGCTAAAACCTCTTTAAACATCAGTATTTTCTATCAGGACAGGCAAGGGCGCTTTATTGAGGTAGTACAGAAATATTTCTATGGTGGTTTTGTAATTGCTTGCTGTCTGATGTATTAATGACAACTCAAAGTCGGTTTCTTGATTTGGAGAGGCACATTCACCTCATTCCTCCTGGAAGACACTGGTTACCAGTGCGATCATGGACAGACTCTGCGAGCTCCCTGGGCCTTTTGATTATGTATACTCCTCCCACGAGAAAGCCATCGGCACTCGAGAACAAAAGCAACTCTTTGCGAGATCACAGTGTTATTGTTTGAGGGTCAATTTGACTTGATGTTTGCAGTCTAGGAGTGGATGGGGTTGAACTGGTGAAACAGTGACCAGCACCAGGAGCAAGGAGACACCGAAGACCATTTCCTGACCAGCTATGCAATCTTCAGCATCAAACTGCATGAACTTTTCCTTCTTCCCCGTCCCCTCTTGCTGCCCCTATTGTTTTTATATCCTGGTATCTGATTACTGGTGCACAATGACAATCATGAGACTGTGATACAGTCCAGTAGAAGGGCTCTGCTACTAAACTGCTTGGATTTATCTGCCTCTGGGATCTCCCCATGTATTGCTTAATTCTTCCAAACTTCACACCTCCTCGTTTTTAAAATGATTGTGCTGTTTGTTTGTTGTCCACTGATATCTCCTTTTCCAGTCTCCTGGCTCAGTGAGAGCCTCAGGATATATTTTGAAGAGATGGCTTTTGTGTTGCTTGTTGTCTTAATAAACAGTTGGAAGCAAACTGGCAGCTCCAAGTGTGTTCTTAGTTGGTGTTACACATTTCACTGGCATCATTAATTGTGTAGCTCACATCCAAAAACAAAGCACAATTCAACCTTGCTGAGGAATTCCAATACCTTCAGTTCTTCACATATTGGATATCCCAATAATGTGGCTTTTACAGTCCATAAGGTGAAACTAAATTACAGCAAAACCACAAAAAAAGAACCACGTTATAGCAGAACAGCGTTATAACTGGATTGTGTTATAGAATATTTTCTAATCACCTGTTCAGAGATGTTATTACACACCTCTGTGGTAAGTGGGATGTCATAGAATCAGAAAATCACATAGGATAATATAATCACATCATATACAGCTATAGAGATATACAGCATTGAAACAGAGCCTTAGGTTCAACTCATCCATGCCGACCAGATATAAATCTAGGGACAAAAGCAGAAGTTTCTGGAAAAGGCTTGAGGAAAGGTTACCAGATCTGAAACATTAACTCTGATTTTTCTTCACAGTTGCTGCCAGACCTGCTGGGCTTTTCCAGCAACTTGTTTTTGTTCCTGGTTTACAGCATTCGCAGTTCTTTTGGGTTCTATATAAATCTAGTCCCATTTGCCAGCATTTGGTCCGTACCCTCTAAACCCTTCCTATTCCTATACTCATCCAAGTGCCTTTTAAATATTATAACCGTACCAGCCTCCACCACTTCCTCTAGCAACTCACTCCATACACGCAGCACCCTTTGTGTGAAAAAATAACCCCTTAGGTCCCTTTTATATCTTAAACCTATGCACAGGGGAAAAGACCTTTCCTATTTACCCTTTCCATGTCCCTCATGATTTTGTAATCAGAACAGCTCCTTTACCCCATCAAGTCTGTACCACGAAGCTTCAAATGTTTCTGCGATTTATATAAATGATTTGGATGTGAATATAGGAGGCAAAGTTAGTAAGTTTGCAGATGACACCAAAATAGGTGGTGTAGTGAACAGCAAAAAAGCTTATCTCAGAGTACAACAGGGCCTTGATCAGATGGGCCAGTGGGCCAAGGAGTAGCAGATGGAGTTTCATTTTGATAATTGTGAAGTGTTGCATTTTGGTAAGGTAAACCAGGGCAGGACCTGTACGGTTGATGGTAGATCCCTTCAGAGTATTGCCAAACAAAGAGACCTAGGGGTGCAGGTTCATAGTTCCTTGAAAGTTGAGTCGCAAGTAGACAGGGAGGTGAAGAAGGTGTTTGGCATGCTGGCCTTCATTGGCTGTACACGATATTGGTGAGGCCACTTTTAGAGTTCTGCATACAATTCTGGTTGCCCTTCTATTGGAATGATAATATTAAACTTGAGAAGGTGCAGAAAAGATTTACTCAAGGATGTTGCCGGGTCTGGAGGGTTTGAGCTATAGGAACAGGCTGAATAGGCTGGGACTTTTTTCCGTGGAGTGTCAGAGGCTGAGGGGTGACCTTATAGAGGTTTATAAAATCATGCCGGGCATGGATAGGGTGAATAGCCAAGCTCTTTTTCCGAGGGTGGGGAAGTCCAAAATAAGAGGGCATAGGTTTGAGGTGACAGGGGAAAGATTTAAAATGGACCTGAAGGGTAGCTTTTTCACACAGAGGGTGGTGTGTGTATGGAACGAACTGTCAGAGGAAGTAGTGGGCGTGGGTACAATTACAACATATAACAGGCATCTCTATGGGTAAATGAATAGGAAGACTTTAGAGGGAAATGGGCCAAATGCTGGCAAATGGGACTAGATTATATTGGGATGTCTGTTTGGCATGGACGAGTTGGACCGAATAGTCTGTTTCTAAGCTTATGGCTCTATGACTCTGTGGCTCTACAGTAATCCCACCTTCCAGCACCTGGGCCATAATTTTGAATGTTGTGACACTTCAAGTCTTGAACCCTCCTGATCCAGAAGTAGGGATACTATCAGAGCACCTCACTGGATATCTCACTGGACCACAATATATCAAACAGGATTCCAGACAACTGATACAAATTATAGCTGGGCTGTGTTATAACTGGACCACTTAATGGGAGAATTGTATTATAACTGGTTCGCTTAATGGGAGAACCATGTTACAAGTGAACTGCTAAATAGGAAAGTCGTATTATAACTCTTCTTATAGAAGAACAGTGTATAACAGGACCACTTAATAGGAGAAATGTGTCATAACTGGACAGCTTTATAGGAGCTAAGATAACAAGGTGTAGAGCTGGATGAACACAGCAGGCCGAGCAGCATCAGAGGAGCAGGAAGGCTGACGTTTCGGGCCTAGACCCTTCTTCAGAAATGGGGGAGAGGAAGGGGGTTCTGAAATAAATAGGGAGAGAGGGGGAGGCGGATAGAAGATGGATAATGGAGAAGATATGTGGAGTGGAAACAGACAGGTCAAAGAGGCGGGGATAGAGCCAGTAGAGGTGAGTGTAGGTGGGGAGGTAGGGAGGAGATAGGTCAGTCCAGGGAGGACGGACAGGTGAAGGGGGCGGGATGAGGTTAGTAGGTAGGGGCTTGAGGTGGGAGGAGGGGATAGGTCGGAGGAAGGACAGGTTAGGGAGGCGGGGACGAGCTGGGCTGGTTTTGGGATGCAGTAGGGGGAGGGGAGATTTTGAAGCTTGTGAAGTCTACATTTGATATCATTGGGCTGCAGGGTTCCCAAGCGGAATATGAGTTGCTGTTCCTGCAACCTTCGGGTAGCATCGTTGTGGCACTGTATGAGGCCCAGGATGGACATGTCGTCTGAGGAATGGGAGGGGGAGTTGAAATGGTTCGCGACTGGGAGGTGCAGTTGTTTAGTGTGAACCGAGCATAGGTGTTCTGCAAAGCGGTCCCCAAGCCTCCGCTTGGTTTCCCCGATGTAGAGGAGGCCACAACGGGAACAGCGGATGCAGTATACCACATTAGCAGATGTGCAGGTGAACATCTGCTTGATGTGGAAAGTCTTCTTGGGGCCTGGGATGGGGGTGAGGGAGGAGGTATGGGGGCAGGTGTAGCACTTCCTGCGGTTGCAGGGAAAAGTGCCGGGTGTGGTGGGGCTGGAGGGGAGTGTGGAGCGGACAAGGGAGTCACGGAGAGAGTTGTCCCTCCAGAAAGCAGATAAGGGTGGGGAGGGAAAAATGTCTTTGGTGGCGGGGTCAGATTGCAGATGGCGGAAGTGTCGGAGGATGATGTGTTGGATCCGGAGGTTGGTGGGGTGGTACGTGAGGATGAGGCGGATTCTGTTTTGGTTGTTATTGCGGGGAGGGGGTGTGAGGGATGAGTTGCGGGAAATGAAGGAGACACGGTCGAGGGCGTTCTTGACCACTGACGGGGGGGAGGTTGCGGTCCTTGAAAAATGAGGACATCTGAGATGTACGGGAGTGGAATGCCTCATCCTGGGAGCAGATGCGGCGGAGGCGAAGGAATTGGGAATAGGGGATGGCATTTTTGCAGGAAGGTGCTTGGGAGGAGGTTTATTCTAGGTAGCTGTGGGAGTTGGTGGGCATGAAATGAATGTCAGTTTCTAGGTGGTTGCCAGAGATGGAGACAGAGAGGTCCAGGAAGGAGAGAGAGGTAGTGGAGATGGTCCAGGTGAACTTAAGGTTGGGGTGGAAGGTGTTGGTGAAGTGGATGAACTGTTCGAGCTCCTCGTCATCATTGCAACGGAGGAACAGGTGGGGTTTAGGGCCAGTGTAGGTACGGAAGAGGGATTGTTCCACGTAACCTACAAAGAGGCAGACATGCTTGGGCCCATGCGGGTACCCATGGCCACCCCCTTTGCCTGTAGGAAGTGGGAGGAATTGAAAGAGAAGTTGTTGAGAGTGAGGACGAGTTCGGCTAAGCGGATGAGG